CATCCCCTTCTCCTCTTGCCTTTAATTTTCGCAGCATCAGGGTCTTTTCCAGTGAGCCAGATCTTTGAATCAGAGGGCGAAAGTACTAGAGCTTCAGTTTCAGCATCAGTCCTTCCAGTGAATATTCCGTGTTGATGTCCTTTAGAATTGGCTGGTTTTACCTTCTTGCTGTGCAAGGGACCCTCAGAAGTCTTCTCTAGCACCACAGTTTGAAAACATTGAGTCTTTGATGCTCAGCCTTGTTTATGGTCCAACTTTTACATTTGTACATGACTACTGGAAAAACCATAACTTTGACTATATGGACCTTTGTCAGTGAAATGATGTCTCTGCCTTTTAATACGCCATATTTGTCATAGCTTTTCTTCCAAGGAGCAAGTATCTTTTAATTTCATGGCTGTAGTCACCAACCACAGTGATTTTGGAGCCCAAGAAAATAAAGTCTGTCACTGTTTCCGTTTTTCCTCCCATCTATTTGCCATGAAATTATGGGACTGTACCCCATGATCTTAGCTTTTTGAATGTCGAGTTTTAAGCCAGCTTCTTCACTCCTCTTTCACTTTCATCAAGAGGCTCTTTAGTTCCTCTTTGCTGCCACAAGGGTGGTGTCATCTGCATATCTGAAGTTATTGAAATCTCTCCTGCCAATCTTGATTCCGGCTTGTGCTTCATCCAGCCTGGCCTTTTGCATGATGTACTCTCCATTGTCAGGGCACTTATGACATCACACCAGTGTCTTCTTAAATTCAGTGGTGCTGTGGCAGAATGTCACACCCATATTATTTCTGTTTCTTTGTGGATAATCAAATAGTTGGGTTTCTCCCCCTTTGCATCTTTAAACACTTTCACATTTTTCATTTATTCTTGGCAATCAGATTTCACTGAGGAGTGCCAAAGTTTGGTCTTTGATGGGTCTTTAAGCCTGAATTGTCTTCCTTCCTTGTACTTCCAGAAGTCTCTGGCACCTGTTCTCTTTCTGGCCCTGGCTCTGCCAGAGTCCTGGCTTCATCTTCTCACCCACAATCCAAGCTCTGACTTGTTCTCAAGCTCTTTAGTTTTCCATTTCCCTACTGGTTTATTTTTCTGTTTTTATTTTAAGGCAGGTGATTCTTGGGGAGAAGTCTTACACTTAGGAGGTTTTCCATTCTGTCTATTTTGGGTCTGCAGTTTTCTCTCCTCTGATATCTTAGTTATTTCTAGGCTGTTCTTCAATCTTAAAGGAAATCAGCCCTGAATATTCATTGGAAGGACTGATGCTGAAGCTGAAGCTTCAATACTTTGGCCACCTGATGCAAAGAACTGACTCACTGGAAAAGACCCTGATGCTGGGAAAGACTGGGGGCAGGAAGAGAAGGGTAAGACAGAGGATGAGACAGTTGGATGGTGCTGTTGACTCAGTGGACATGAGTTTGAGCAAACGCTGGGAGATAGTGAAGGGTCGAGAATCCTGGTGTGCTGGAGTCCATGGTATTGCAAAGAACGGGGCATGACTGAGCCAGTGAACAGCTTCTTTAAATTCCATTAATTTGTCAACACAGAAATCCACTTCTCTACCTTGTTTTCCAGCTCTGTGATGGAAGTCACACTATTGCTGTTGTGGACTGGACGTTTTCCCTTTGCCCTTGATTCACTGAGGCCTTAACCCCTGGTGAGAAGGTGTTAGGAGGGGGCTTTTGGGAGGCCATGAGATTCAGATGAGGTTGTGAGAGTGGGGCCCACCTATGAGATTCGTGTCCTTAGAAGAAGGAAAGACAGAGAGCCCTCTCTGACCGGTGAGGGTGCGATGAGGAGGTGGTCATCTGCAGCCAGACCCCACATGTGCCCACCGCTTGCCCCAGGGCTACCAGCCTCCAGAGCTCTGGGGACAGATGCTGTTGTCTAAGCCCACTTCCCACTCTCTACCCCTATCTGTGGTGCTTGTTGCAACAGCTTGAACAGACTGAAGCTTGTAAACAATTCTGAGGATCATGGCTTCCAGCATATTCTCTGATCAATCATGGAGTCTTGCAGCACTGACAGCTCTGGAAATGGCCAGCGATGGGGATTTTGCAAAGCAGAGAGTGGACACAGGAACCCAGTGGACACGTAATAATGATTAGTGCACAACCAATCAGATGCTGTGGAAGAAGCTACAATGAGCCAGGTGTCAGCCGTAGAAGGAGTGAGGACTGAATGAGAAACTGTGCTAAAAAGGTGAATTCTTTCTCGGTAGGATTGCTAGAGAGCCTTGTGCCAAACACTGGGTTTTAACTGGCAAAGATACACAAGGAAGCGTCTCATGATATCCTTGAGGAAGAGCAGCAGGGCAGCGACTAAATGATGCTGGATTTAAGGGACTGAACACGGAGTTGACTGCTGTTTTCAGGGGGTGTCAGGTAAAACGTTTCTGCTTCAAGAGATTTTTCCCGTTTTACTGAACCACGGCAACTACGAGCCATAGTTGACATAGAACATCAGGTAAGCTTTAGGGGCTGTTGAAGGTCGTCTTGATGGGCTTGTGGGGACTTTCCAGTGCCACTCGCAGTGGAGCACTGAGGTCGCTGGATTATCAGACACCACAGTGGTTTGAGGAAGGACTGGGTGCCAGAGGAGGAGGTCGAAACCACTGGGAGGAGGGAGGAGCCACAGCTGCTGAAGCTCATGTGCCTGCAGCCCGTGCTCCCAAACAAGAGGAGCCATGATGAGAAGTCCCCACACCCCGGCTAAAGAAAGGCCAGCATGCAGCGAAGATCCAGCGCAGCCAAAAATAGACAAGTGAAGCTACTAAAGACTCAAGTTGGCAAAGTGAATATTTTAAAACGAATGCAAATACATTAACAAAATCAATTTTAATAAGCAAATGTATTTCTTATTTGAGATTAAAAAAAAAAGGACTAGATTTAACTCTGGATTCAGAGGTCAGGTCCAGGGACTGAGCTGCAGTGATTGCAGGAGGCGGGCAAGTCAGTATCACAAGGTGGTGAGAGTTCCTTCACAGTTGAGGTGCAGGCCGAGGTAAGGAGACCAGGAAAGACGAGAAAATGCTCTCTGACCACTACGCTTGATGCAGGAGCTTCCCTGGTGGCGCTAGTGGTCCAGAACCCACCCGCCAAAGCAGGAGATGCAGGCTTGATCCCTGGGTCGGGAAGATCCCCTGGAGGAGGGCGTGGCAGCCCACTCCAGTGTTCCTGCCTGGAGCATCCCATGCACGGAGGAGCCTGGCGGGCTACAGTCTATGGGGTCACAAAGCGTCTGACACGACTGAACACAAGAACTGCTAGAACACGGCATTTAATTTTATAATTGATTTCCCTTCTTATCTCTGCCGAGGCCGCTGTTTCCCCAGAGCTCCCTGGGGCTGTCCCCTGGGCAGGCCGCTCTGGGTCCCATACTTGCGCTGTGTGTGGCTCCAGGAATCGCCCCTCCTCATTTTGCTGGGCCAGCCCCGGGAGCATCCCACCCCATTCTCTTCCCGATCTTTACTTGTTCTAAGGGACCCAGTCCACGTTCTGGGGCACCCACTTTCCCCTCGTACATATTTAAATCCACAAGCACCCTACTGGGTTCCTTTTTGTAGACTGCATTTGTGATTTGAACTAATGAGCCTGGAAGCTTTGACATTTGTAATGAGCATGAGTTCGTGTGGTATATTTCTCAGGTGCTTCTCCAAATAAAATCTGTCATCATCATTTGGCAGATAATCCACCTGTAATGACCCCCTGGCCATGTGATCAGTCATCCTTTATCATTAGCATGAGAGCACATCATATGATGACAAAACTGATCACGGAGTTCTTCCTGGGGGGATGGATCATGTGAGAATCTGCCAGCCACCTGCTGGTCTGATGTGGTGAGGATTCCCACGCCACTCCATGGCTGACGGCACGGAGGGGCTCCATCTGCTACTGCTGTGGGTTTGGGCTTAGGCACCTAAGTTCATTCATCTGCCTTGAAAATAGAGCTCACACTCTTCCCCACCCTTTCTACATTTCCATTAACGGTGTACAGTTTCACTTTGCTGTCCCGATTGATTCGGTTGGACTCTCACCCTTGGCTGTTGATTGACCAGGAGGGAACCAAGTCTTCAGGTGGCCCAGGTGAGTGCGCGCCTGCATCACACAGTGGCCAGGCATCAGGGGTTCAGGACAACCGAGGTGCTGAGGAAACCAAGGGAGAGCACCTGCAACCCACCCAAACGTCAGCGCTGGTCCCCACGGCCTCCTCACACGCACCGGGTGAGCTCCCGAGGCCAAAACCAAGCCCCGAAGCCAAGAGGACTTTCAGATCCCTGCCGCCCCGTGGGGAACGTGTCTTCCTCTTGGGGGACAGGAGGACCAAGGTCAGCCGGGGGCTGCCACCTGGTCAGAGAGGAGCCCATGGCCTTACCCTGGGGTCCCCAGACGTGCACACCTTCTGAAACGGTCAGTGTGCGCAGGCTTGCATGCATCTTCCTTTGGGCTGGATGATGGTACGGGGGCAAGTTCCGGCTTCCCAGGTGGCGCTGGTGGTAAATACCCCCCTGCCAATGCAGGAGGACCTAGGAGGTATGGGTTCAGTCCCCAGGGCAGGAAGACCCCCTGGAGGAGGGCGCGGCGACCCACTCCAGCATTCTTGCGGGGAGAATCCCTGTGCACAGAGGAGCCTAACGGGCTACAGTCCGCGAGAGTCGGACATGACTGAAGCTACTGAGCATGCACGCACAGGGCAAGTTCAGATGTGTGACTGGGTTTTCTGCGTGTGTCAGACGCCTCCCGCCTTCAAAACGTGAGCATCAGCAGTGGTGACACCAACAGAGCTCAAGGCCAGTGTCATCCAGACGTGGACACAGAGCGGGGTGTGGATACGGTGAAAGCCTGAGGCTGGCAATGCTAGGCATCTAGAATTGTCTGTTGAAAAACATAACTCCATTGTTCACTTAAACGGTTGATGCTGATTACTTACTAACCTGGGTGACTTCAGGCTGATGCGCCTGCTGTAGGGTCAGCCACGGGAGCGCCTCCGGGTCCTCAAACCCTCCGTACCTCTGCCCCCGAGGCTGCGAGCGTGGAGGGCTGGCGTGGGGTGCTCGGCTCTGCTCTCCCTTTGCGCCCGTTCAGCAGCAGCTCTCTCCTCCCCTCCCTCCGCCGAGGCCCCACGTTTCGGTTCAGAAGGTGTGACTTGGGGTCCGCAGCCCCCTCTGTCCTCGGTCAGGACTCCTGACCCCGCTGTTGCTTGGGCTCCCGTGCCCTTCAGCGGGCCGGCACCGCCTGTTCCTCTGACATGCTTCAGTAAACCTAATAGCTCCCTATTACCAGCTACAATTTAGCATCTGAGCCAGGAGCTGGGTAAGAAAAGGGGAGAAGAGGGTGTAAATTATGCGGAGTGGCGGGGAACAAAGGTTTTATTTCTCCCGAGCACAGCCCTTTGATAGGGAAACGGGGAGACAACTGTGTCACTAATTTAATTAAGTAGTATGAGATTTCAGGGTCCGCGGATGCCATTTAGAACGGGATTAATCAAGAGCAGGTGACAAAAATGAATAGTCACACACAATGTTCGCGTTTTGAACAATCCGACACAGTCGACTGGAATCAAGGGCTCTTAAAACAGAACACAGTTTTGCTTGCTAATCCAAACCTACTTCTCCCCGGCTCTGCACAACGCCTGCCTGTTCTCACGGGCTGAAGCCTTCCCACGTGTCCCTGCTGGAATCAGCCCCCAGAGTCAGGGCGTAAAGGGGCTGGTTCGCCCACCAGAGGCCCTGTTTGCTCCCCTTCCTCCGAGGGTCCTTTCTGAGACGCGAGAGATGCCCTTGGGGAATCTGTGAGTGTCGTCAGAGAGAACGTCATCCTAAATATCAACTGTCTCACAACGCAGATCCAATGCTGAACACAGGCGTGCAGCCCTGCGATTTCCAGGGCTGAGCGTGTGCTCAAGGGGTGTGTAAGGAGGTGGCCTTCCTGGTTGGGGGGGCAGGGACCGGATGTGCTGGGGGTGACTGAGCCCCAGGGCCACACGCACACCTGAGCAGAGACCAACGAGGGCGCCTGCAACAGGGAATCACATACGGCAGGAAATAACACCCGTGTCATAGCCGGTCGGCAAGGAGCAAACCGCCACCTGTCGTGGGCCTCAGGACATGACGACTGCAAGAGACTCCGAGTCTGGAAAACCCTGGGGAGAGCTGGCTCTCTTCTGGATCAGTTACCTGTGTTGGGGACCACTTATGCATAAAGGTGTGCGTGCATGCTGTCTCTTCAGTCATGTCCGACTCTTGGCAACCCCATGGACTGTAGCCCGCCAGGCTGCTCTGTCCATGAGATTCTCCAGGCAAGAACACTAGAGTGGGCTGCCATTTCCTTCTCCAGGGGGTCTTCCCAACCCTTGTCTCTTGCATCTCCTGCGTTGGCAGGCAGGTTCTTTGCCTCTAGTGCCACCTGGGAAGCTTGTCTCAAATTCTTGGAAGTATGTGAAAACTATTTTCCAGCCTCTTAAGAGTTTAAGCAGAATTCTGAAAATCCCACTTACTGGCACTGATTCCTTTATTTCACATACTTCTTTGGGAAATGGTGAGGAAACTTAGGTTCGCCATCATGTTTTTAGAAATTCTACTTAGTAGAGACCAGGCTCTGGAGGTTTTGCTGGTTAGGAGCATTCTTGAGGTTCCTTCCCGTATCTGGACTATGTGTTCATTTTTCGTAGGTGAGATTTCATTTCCATTAATTTCAGGTCTAATGTCTTCTAATTCTTTCAGGTTGGCAACAGGAGGAAGCAGAGACCAGAGATCAGATGTCGACTCACATTTACCCTGAAAACCAAGAGGAATCACTGGGTTCCTTGGGCTCTGCCTCCCTCACTTGGGGAGCCGGCACCATTGATGGCCTGGGGATGGCCCCGGGATGACACTTGGGCCCCCACCCCGGTCAGAATGAGGAGGCACTGTGCCCACCGTCCATGCCTCCCAGTTCTCTCTTCCCAGCAGAAACTGACATGACGTGTCAGATCCCTAGACAGAGAGGGATCTGGAATGAATGGTCAGGACACTTTGTATGAACGATGCACAAATAGAACACTATCGGGACCTTTATGGAAATTCCCCCTCATTTAAAAACTCTTTCCTTGGCAGATTTTTGTTGTTGTTGCTGTTTTGAATAGACTTAGAACCCTGTTGTTTTTCTGACATTATGCTTGTGATCACAAGTACAACCTGGAACATTTTGATTTACTTTAAACCATTTACTAGCTCATTTCTTTAGAAATGACCAGTGGTTGATTTCAACTCAAACGAAAACCATTTACTAGCTCATTTCTTTAGAAATGACCAGTGGTTGATTCAACTCAAACGAAATAGCTCGTGTGGACGCCTGAGAGTGTCAGGTGTGTGACACGCGGGTCTGCGATGGCAGGAGCCTTTCTTTTTTCCACCATCAGGCATTCAGTGACCTCGGCTCCCAACTCTCTGATGATGCATCTGTGCAGGAAGCATGCAGTGCCCACAGGGCGGCCCTGTTTGTGACTGCAAACCGGATTGGATTCCACCCCTAGGGCCCAGAGGAGGCAGGAGGGGGCGGGACAGCCTGGCTCTGGTCTGCACACCCTCAGGGCGCAGCTGGGTACCCAGTGGGTGTCCTTGCAGGGCTCACCTGGGCAGCCTGATCAGGGCACCTGGAGTGGGGGAGGGTGCTTAAGAAACAGGCCTAAGGTTAACATTAATCAGTAAGGCCAACGCGCTGAATAAATCACGCTCCCTCTTTTAGATGTGTTTCACAGAAGTGCAGCTTCCATCAGTGCTCAAAGTGGGAAATATGTTTAGGCCAGTTCCCTGATTTTATTTTCAAATGTCTCAGACTTGAAAGGTCCATGGGATCGGGCTTTAGTAGACAAGAGGAGAGAGCTGAGAACCCACAGGCAGAGGCTTCACCAGGAAAACGTGAGGTCCTGACACACGGCATAATCTTGGGAAAGGTGCTTTCCATAGACAGAATGTAGGCTTAGATACAGCCCCTTTCACACGTGCTATCGTTTTAAGTCTTAATTGATGTGCTTTTACATTACAAGCATTGCAAGACCTAGTGTTTAACATCTGAGCTCATGTGCAGTCCGGAGCCATTGACACCTTCCCTTTCTTCCCTTGTCACAGGAAATGGAGGAAAACGGAGGAAGAGACAGGATGCAAAGTGGGTGTCAGGAGTGGTCAAACCCAGCACGGGGTGGGGAGGCGGCGGGGGGCGGCCATCAGAGCTGAAGGACGTGATTAACCACGAGCACATCAGACCGAGAGGCTGGGATAAGTAGCTCTAAAATACAAAGGGAGAAATATAGGTTCTTTTAAAAAAGCACAGCATGTTAACGCCAGAGGGGGAACATGAATAGGAACCTTTGGAATTAGGCTAATAAACCATTTGATTAAAAAGTGAGCCAGGCAAGCTTCAATACGATGAGAATGATGAAGTTGGTAAAAAATAAGTCTCGAATTAGCTGAGTTAGTATTCTTTTTTTCAGGACTGTTCAACAGGGGAAAAAAAAAGAAAGACACATATCTGGGCAATTATGAAGCAGCACGGATGTGATGGGTGTCAGGGGAGCAGGCCAGAGACCCCAGGTGAGACAGACAGTTGCCCCCGGTGAGCAAAAGCCAAGGCAGCGCCAAGGTCCCGCCTGCTCCCAGCTCTCAGGAGCCGGTGTCAGCCAGCACGAAGCTGACTGATGAGACCACAGTTCCAGGTGCACGCTGCGGGGGCCATTCCCGGACCCTGCGCGTGCACCAGGAAAGGGAGTGGAAGGTTCGTAGCGGGGAGATGCACGCGCTCTGGATGCGGGCCTGTCACTGCAGTGCCGTGCACAATGACCCAGACAGGGCGGGGGACCCATCGCTCTAAAGTCGCGCTTCCTTGGCTTGGAGAGGAGACTTAGCTTGCTGTGAGCCCGAGGTGGCTGCGGCTTTCTATTCCTTTGCACAAACACACTTCACTGTGGCTGTGGGTGCCTGGCCCAGCTCCAAGTCAGGATTTGGTGCTGCTGAGCAGACTGCATGGTCGATGAGGGCAGGGAAAGTGGTGGGGGGCCATGCCGGGGACAGCCTGAGCCCTCTCTCTGCCAACCCCGGGGGTGGGCATGTCCCGTGCTGCCCCCTGCCCCACAGCGGGCGCCCCAGGGGCTGCTGGGCTGATGGCACCCCCAGCCTGTCCGTGACCCCCACAGGGGACATTCCCGACATGCCACCCAGGGGCCCGCCCAGGGAGCGGCAGGCATAGGAGGAAAGGAGAGGGCGGGGGCGCTGGGCCCGCCTGCTGCTTCTGGTCCAGGCCTGAGATGGACGCGAGCCGGGGAGTGGATGTTCCCCTGCTGGTGACACCACGGAAGACAGGGAGCCACAGGACAGGGGCCCAGGTCTAAAGAGCCTCCCGGAGCGGGAAGCTGGGCAGTTGGTCCCTGGTGTGGCTCTGCAGGTGCGGGGAGACGGGGCTGAGAAGGCCCAGAGGGGCTGGTGGTTCAGCGGGAGGGGGGGTGGGAGACTCTGGAAGATGCCACCTGAGAGGCAGCGGGTGTCTACGGGCATGGGGGGACCCAGGATTCTGGGCGCCTGGAGGTCTGGAGCCCAGAGGGACGTGTTGTGACCCCAGGAAGGTGGAGGAGGGTCCGCGGGGGCCGTGTGGGCTGGGCAGGGAGCCCCAAGGAGTCGTGCCTGCACCCAGTCATGCAAGGAGGAAGCCTTGGCGGGGTGCTGGCCGTGGGGGTGGAGGAGAAGGCTGAGCCCTGTCGCTGTCTCACGTTCCAAGTGGTGGGAGGGACCCCGGGATCTGGGTCCTGAGCAGTGGCCACAGGCGTGACTCTCTGGAGCCCGGCTCGGGGCTGTGCAGGGGGCCCAGGGGTGGGGGCCGGGCAGACCTAGGGGCAAACCACCCTTCAGCCCGCAGGACCTGGACTGGACAGACAGCTCCTCCCGAGTTTGGGGCACAAGCCGCCTCTGAGCCAGAGAGGAGAGACGGACTTGAACAGGGTGACATTGGCCATGTTGAATTCAGCCTGGCCTCCGACATGCTGCCTGTTCCTCCCAAGCGGAGGCATGAGGCCGGCAGACAGGAGGGGCCGGGGGCCGCACCCCCAGGGCGGGACCCCTCCCTCCCGGGCGCGTCTCTCCAGGGTGTGGGGCGGGGGGCTTCCACTGGGAGCCCTAGATGCAGGCGCTGTGGTTGGGGCCCCCCTCAGCGCCTCC